TAACTTTATTTATTATTTTTATATAATTTATAGTTGAAAAAATTTAATTCTGTCAGTTTCGATCTCTGATAGTCACGATAAAGTGCAGTGTAATGTTCTGTAAAGTGCAACTTAATATCTTATAAAGTGCAACGTGTTGATGTATAAAGTGAACTGATGTAATTTTGGTACGCTAGCATGCTTGATTTTTATGTGGATAAATGATGTGATTAATGTTAAAGTATTTTGTATATCTGTTTTGTTTATGTACGTTGTGGTATTTTCGCGGAAGCTGTTGACGTTAATCGTGGAGTGCGTTGATAAGGTGCAACGCTTTATGTTCCAAAATGCAACATGTTGTTTTATAAAGTGCAATTTAATGTTATATAAAGTGTTGATATATAAAGTGCAATACTATATATTATTTTTTTATTTATTCAATTTTTTATCTATTATTTATTTTATTATTACATTATTTTAAATTTATATTATTTTTATTTTATTTATTATTCAATATGTATGTATAAAAAATATAATAAATAACATTTTTGAATAACTTCCATTAATTACAGATTTGGTATGTGTACTAAACTGAAATATATTTAAAATTTATAAAATTGCATTAAGGTCCTTGAACAATTTCTAATTTTCAAAAAAAAGGCCCAATTCCATTCTAAGTTTGCAGGTGATCGGGGAAGGGATCCATCTTTTCCAGACGCGGTTCTCTGGCCGATTAGACGCAATCAGAGAGAATCTAGCCGACCGTCTGCTCCAATTTCACCGGGAGCTTCTTGTTCGTGTTGGTCGTGAATGGAAGTCGCCGGAGTTTGGCGGTGACGGCAAAGAGTTGTCTGTTGTGTCATGGTTGGCCACGAATGGAATGTCGTCAGAGTCGAATCAATACGGTTGACGAAGGCGCGGAGACGATGGAGGAATTGACGGGATTTTGTAATTGAGGTGCGGTGGAGACGGTGGCCCGACGACGACTGAGGCGTGACAGAGGTGGAGTAGGCGGCACGACAGCGGCGGCGGAGACGACGATATCTGTTGCTCATAGCCGGAGACGACGAGCACAGGTCAATTGTTGCGATGTTCTACGACGAGGGAGTGACCGGCGCGATTTGCAGAGGCGTGGCGCGGCGGCGGTGGTGCGACGGCGGTGGCGCGTCGACGGCGGAGACGTGACATAGGCTGAGTCTTGATGGCGGCGGCGACTATGATGGCTGAATGTTCGCCGACGATTGTGTGTTCCGCCGGCGACTGTGTGTGTGCTGTGTGTAATGCGTGTGTGTGAGAGAGGGAGATAGTGTGTGACCGTGTGAGAGAGATAGAGATGATGAGGTGTATTTATTAGTTGGCAGGTTTTTAAAAGTGTATTAATTTGTATTAATGAATTAATGGGTGGGACCCACTTCTTTGAATGTAGTGTGGAAAAATACCATAATACCCTTAATGAAGGTATAATTTTGACTTTTTTTTAAGTCATTAGATCATCCAATCTAATGGCTAGAATTCATTCTCATTTCTTTCATGAGGAACCATTCTCATGTGAACCCAACCCTATATATATATATATATATATATATATATATATAATTGCTGGCATATAGCATTTAATAAAACCTATTTAATAAAACCTCTAAAATTTTTCCTTCATTTTCTGTTACAAATTTTATCATTAATTTTTTTTTTATTTCTCACATTAATACATCCTATTGAGCGTAATCATGTATGTTTTTATTATATTATATACTAGTTATTGCTACTACCAACTAATAATAATCTACAATCAATATATATTACATAATTATAAACAATTGTTTCAAGTTATTTATATTAACATCAATATTATCTTTTTGTTTTATATCTCACGAAAAAATTTCTTTAAAAACAATTAGCAAATTATTTTAATAGCATAGTCAAATAACTTTAGAATCCTATAAACAATTGTTTTTTTAATAATATATATATATATATATATTAATGAAACAATCCTATATATATATATTAATCAAACAATTGTTTACAATCCTATAAACAATTGTTTTTCCTATAAACAATTGTTTTTAGCATATATATATATATGCTAGCTTAGCATTTAATTTTACCTATTTAATGAAACCTCTAAAATTTTCTCTCTATTTTCGGTTACAAAATTTATCATTAATATTTTTTTACTTCTCACATTAATAGATCATATTAAGTTTAATCATGTATTTTTCTATTATATTATATATCAGTTATTGCTAATACCATATAATAATAATTCACAATAAATATAAATTACATAATTATAAACAATTGTTTCAAGTTATTTATATTAACATCAATATTATTTTTTTCATTTGTATCTCATGAAAAAATTTCTTTAAAAACAATTAGTACCGATCGACGTCTCAAAACAACATTAACTAAATCTCCTACAACACTGCCTCTGTAACGTTTCCCCCGATGACACCTCAACAACTTATGTTTTTCTTCTTTTTCGTGTTTGTGAACAATTCGAAACCCCATACAATTGCTATTTTGCCCATTAACAGTTTCTTCACAACGATCAAAAGGTCATCTGTAGTGAAAGCAGGTCTGTAATCAACACGTCTCGTTCAAAATCTTCGAGTGACACCTGCAATATATTACGATGTATGTTAATAATCTTACAAAATAATCAGCTATAATTTATAACATAATAATAATAATTTGTAAAATTTATTATATAATCAATTCTAATTTCTAACATAATATCAATAAAATTCTACTTCATAAGATAATCTATTATAATCTATTACAAAATAATTTCCAATTTGTAACATAATATAAATAAATTATACTTCATAAGACAATCAATAATAATTTCTACTTCATAAGATAATATATTCTAATCTACTAAAATACTAATATATTCTAATCTACTAATATTCTAATCTACTTAATAATATAATTTTTTATATACTAGTATATTTTATACTACTATACTTTTTTTCATTATAATTAATAGTATATTTTGTACTATCATAATATATAGATTTATATTAATATATATTAATAAAATTAATATATTATATTATATATATTATATTAGTATAACTATTACAAATTACGATAGTGTAAAATATAATTAATTATAATAAAAAAAGTATATTAGTATAAATTATATTAGTATATAAGAAATTATATTATTAATCTATATTAATATATATTCATATATATGAATGTATAATAATATATATGAAATTATTATTATATATAATTTAATATATATTTATTTAAGTTATTAATATATTTTAATTATAATCAAACATAAGTATTAATTTTTTAAATTTATTAGAAAATATATAAGAATAATTATGAAATTATTTAAAAATATTTTTAATATTTTAACATTTTTTAATTAATAAAGATTAAAAACCACGAAAAAAGTAAATTTATATGTACAAATAGTTTATATACATATATAATTTAATATATATTAATTTAATATATATTATATATTAATTACAAATTAATATATATATTGTATTAATATATTTTATAAAAAAAATAGAAACCACGAAAAAAAATAAATAATTAATATATTTTTTTTAATTTTTTATTTTTAATTTATTATAAAATATATATTAGTATATAGAAATTTTTATAATATATTTTATAATATTTTAAAGTTTTATTAATTAAAAAAGCGCCAAAAAAACCAGACTGGAGCCGGCTGACCGGCGATTGCAGCTGGTCTTGGACTGGCCGGCCGGTCTTTAAGGCCAGGTATGGTATGGCCGGCCGCCGAATGCGGCCAACACAAGCTCGGCCAAAAAAGTCCGGCCTGACCGGCCGCAATTGTCGGTCGGCCGGCTCCAGTCCGGTTGGTTTGACCGGCTGGCCGCCGCATAACAGGTCTTGTTGGATGGAAATTTTTTATTCGGAGGTCTTTTCGAAATTTTTCGGAGCTCAGTTCGGCCGATAAATAGGTCGGAAAGTAGGATATTTTTTTTTTTTAAAAAAAAGTAAAGGTCAAAGTAGCCTTTAGAGCGACGATGAGTAGTAATAAAGAGCGATGTTTAGTAGTTCAAAGAGTTAGATGTGCTTGTTTGATTGTGGTGGACCCCATTGAGTGGGTGGAATGAAAATACAAAATTGACCTTTAATGGTATAGATTTGACCCAATGAATATTGTTTATTTGCAATTTCGGCCATCCTTTTTTTACCAGATTAAATAATTTTGACTTTATTGTGGCCCTTGATATTATGAATCCAATAGTGTAAAATTATTTTTATTTCTTTCATTATATGTCTTTCTCATATGATCCTAATTTTATATATATATATATATATATATATATATATATATAACAAGAGGGTGATACTAGCTTATTGAAGGAACTCTAAAATGCCCTTGGAAGGATTGGTAACTGTCTATTTAATTTGTGAGGACATACATGCTGAGGGATTTGACAACGAGTTTCAAACTTGTTTCTTTCATATTTCTCAATCCAAATGGAGCCTCAATTGAGTTTTTAGGCTTATAAAAAACATAATACTCTGGAAAAATTTTCAACATAAATTGAACATAGAGATCATGTAGTTGAACAACACGGCCTAGCTAGTCCATGAAATAATTTCCAGAAATTGTCAAAGTTGCTAATTATCTGCAAAACACTTTAAAAGCTGATATGCTCTCTCTTCTGTTACACAGTGTTCTACCACCTAGAAACAAACATTTAAAAATTTGAAATTGAACCCGAATTCTATGCAATCCGATTTTTTTTAATAAACACGATCTTTTGAAATTAGGCAAAATACTATAACGTCTGCTTCAAAAATATGTCTCATCGTGTATTAAGCCATCATATTCTATATTCACATGTTGCAAATATGCAGCAATTACAAAACTGTTGTTTATTCCTATAACTGTAAGGCAATATTCACACTGGGAAAAATATAACCTAGCTTCATGTTCTCTCCACCATAGATCAAAAAGATCTTAACTTGTCATTCTACAACTGTTCTTCCACCTATAACTATTGCATTCTTTATTCAACCATGTTTGACCATGTTATCTCGAGTTCGAGCGTTCTTGAGGAGCTGTCTTGGCCGTTATCATGACCGAGGCTAAAAACACCACTGGTTACTCCTTCAGTTACAACTTTGTCAATTTGAATTGTGACTCTCCCATGAGATGTCTGAAGAAAAAC